ATTGATTTTTTTATTATTATATTTTACAGAGTATAGGTTCACACCTTTTAAATGTGTTTGACGAGATCAGACACTTGTGGTGTCTACTATCTGAAGTCCCTAGGTCACCTTTCAGGACGGCAAGCTGTCTTGGAGACTACAGTGTGTGTGATCTCTCATTCTCTACAAATCTTAGTCCATAGAGAAATTTTTCCATGCTCCTGCTGCCTCAAGTTCAGACCCAGGCTTACCACCCTCTTTCAGCCTTGTCTCCCTCCCCTGTTTGTATTCATGCATTTTACTGAAATATAACATGGACGCAGAAACACAGGCCATCTTACGTACACATCTAAACATCATTTTGTGACTGAACATACATGGGCATCCACAAGAGTGACACTGCTGGGACTTTCCACTTTTCTCTCTAATACAGCATCGTTAGACTCATTCCTGACAGCACACATGCCTTAAATATCTTTGTGTTTATGCTATTCTGCTCGCCAAAAAGAATTTAGAGAGGTTTCTGGATACCAGTTCTAGCTCATCCCCTGAAAGAAAAGTCTCCAGGAGGAGAGGCTGCCAGTCTACACATAGTCATGGCTTTAATATATTGTAACTGTACATAAGTACAACTATACAGCAGATCCTTTGCCTGGCTTCTTTTGTTTATTATTTATTTATTTTGCTCTTTTGGAGACAGGGTCTTGCTATATAGCTCTGGCTATCCTAGAACTCACTGTGTAGACCAGGGTGGTCTTGAGATTACCGTAACGGGCCTACCTCTGCCTCCCTAGTACCCAGCTTGCTTGCTTCCTTCCTTTTGAATGCTGCTGTGAGGCGAATAGGATTTAAAGAATATTTTTCCTGGCTAGCAATTTTAGATGGGTCTACCTCAGGACGACTATCACATAACTAGGCTGCCATATCTGCAGACATACTTCTTATTTAAATAGTTTTTGCAGATCTGTGCTTTGATTCCCTTTCATTTACTTTAATCTGTATTTCACCACTTCAGACAGCTATCCATAAAAATGATTTGGATTCTTGTATACAAGGCCTCATGGAATGAATGGTGTTTATGATGAGCGTGTTGCGCCTATGTATGTATGGTGTGTTTCAGTGAAATACACACACACGCGCGCACACACACACACACACACACACACTCACACAAGAGGGAATGAAGAGAGAGAAATATATCAGCTTATCTAGTCATGAGCTCCTGCCTGGGTGGGATGCTGCATGATCAAGGTTAATTTAACATTAAAAGCAAAGCTAGTGAAAAAATGAATTGAAGAAGTTAAGAGACTAGTAATAGGGATAGGAGGGAAAGTGGATGTGTTTGCTTGGGGACAGACTCTCAGGGGAGTTGTTGACACTTAGTACAAGATGTGAACAAAATAGTGCTGGTGGCTATGCAGTATGCAATCAATGTGTTGCCTGTTTAAGAGTATCTGGATGGGGCTACCATATTTTACTACTACTCTAGATAATGTACTAATATGCCTTCCCGGTGGTATTTGTAGAGGAAGAGCTTTTTTTTTTTAGCAATTCTTGTCTGACTCTGGCTAATGCCCAAGGAAGAGACAACCATGAACAGAAGATTTTGCAAACTTACGTACACTTCAGGTGTATGCATTCCATAAATACTACCATCGGGAAACCTCTTTCAGGTTCTGGGCCCCAGGTCACACTTTGAACAATTTAAATGACAGGAGACTACATGTTGGCCACTTGGGCAGATGGGAGATTTACACAGCAAAGGCCTGACTTATTTCTTAAGTTCAACAGTGTTGTTATTTTCCAATAGTTGTTACCCAGGGTCATCTTGCCCACTGGGTAGAACCATGCTTTTCTTGATAAGAGCACAGAGGACTTAAGGGCAGACCAGGCTTAATTGTGGCTGTGACCCTGTGCTGACCCCTTGAGCTGACCCTTAGATGTGCCTTCTTTGCTATGGGGATGGGTCTAATGGCTGGTAAGTCAGAGGTGTCTCCTTTTGTTATAGGAATGGAGCCTAATTGGAGGTCAATCTTAGTGAACAAACATTTACATCCTGGCATCCTAAATTTCCCTTATCTCTAAAGGGCCTGCTTAGCACCCTACTTATCCTTGGGTTATTTTGGAGGCAGAGCTCCATTAGCCAAATTCCACTGTGTGACTTAATGCCTCCTAAGCAAGCAGTGAGTCCATCATAGAATCTATTCTAGAGTTTCCTCTCCATCACCAGTAGAGCAACTGTTTCTGGGGTGGGGGTGGAGGGTGGCAATCCTGGCAATGTCTGAAGACATTTTTTGGTTTGCACACTATTAACATCTAGCAGGCAGAGCAGAGGTGTGTGGATTAACAAAACAAACATCTTAAAATGCACACTATAGCTCAATCCAACAAAAACTATCTAGCCCCAAGAATTGGCATGGCTGATGTTCAGATCTTTCTTCAAGGCCCAGGGGCAGACAAAGGTTTTAAACAGTGTGAACTACTTTTCTGAAATTGTCACATAGGAGTGTTTTCTATGCTAGCCAGCCCACATCTGGTGCACTCTAAGTTTGATTAAAATTTAGTAATGGGGCCTGAGTCCACCAAGTCATTCAGGGTTTGAGTGATGTCACATGGATCTGTTATGATGAAGCCAGTGATGCCTGGTGACATAAATAAATGGTCCTATGACTTAGGCCACTGTTTTTATGTCAGCTTTGAGAATATTAAAGTTTTAAGGGTACCCAGCAAATCAGAATGCAAAGAAGGTGTTTGATAATGATTTCAATGCCACCCCTCCCACATATCTTGTCACTCATACTCGGAGTGAAACTGATTTCATTATTTCTACAACGGAGGTGCTGATTTAAATTTGCCTCTTCCTCCTCCAGGGAACTTAGGCTACTGCTACCCTCTGGTTCATTTCCATTGGAAAGCTGAGGAGCTTTATAAGATCCCATCTATTTTGTAGCTGGTGTTTCCATTGTAATGCTATTACCGAACCAGTGTCGTGACAAATCGTCTGTTTATGAGGAGAAGCACTTCTACAAGACATAGAAAATTAGACATACTTCTGTTCTGCAGTAACAATAAAAACCTGGATGGGAGGGGTCCCCTAACTTATTCCCTTCTGTACCAGCAGATTAACTTTCTTTTAACATCTTCCAAAACCGGTGAGTAACTTCAAATACGATGCAGAAAAAAAAAATGCAGTTCCCCAAATCCTAACGAAGACCAAGACATTCTGAAGCTTACACTGACATGGGCCCTTTAAGAAAACCAGGCACTTCTAACTCCACCCCTCTGCCGACTGGGAGCCTGCAGGTCGCTTTCCCAAGGCTGTTAGTTTTAGTGATAAACACCAAGAGAGTTAATTTGCCCCCATACCCTGCCTGGAAGGAATGTTCCGGAGGCTGTAAGCCCTCTAAATGTGGCAGTCTGGAGTTGGGGTGGGAAAAGAACAATAGAAAACTTGTGAAGTCTGGAAGCCACGCCCACCCCAGACTGCCCTGCACTGAATAAAGCGGAAAGAATGCAGTTAAATCCCAGTCCCCAGCACTGCTCCCCTTACCCCATCCATCTCACCCCGGGTCGGTTTTACAGAAGCTTCCTGTAAGTGAAGGAGCTGAATGTCTCCTATCCCAGACCCAACATGGCAAAGTCAAGGAGCCAAGTAAACTTAAGTGACAAATTGGCCCCCTCCGCAAAGGCTTATTCTGGAGGGCAAAGCCAAATACTTGCCCCCCCCTCGATTTTTAACGGTTATTGTTAAACTCTGCTTCAGAACTCCCCTAGCACTAAACTCAAGAATGTGTAGGAGAAGTTTGGGGTGAGGGGGGTCACTACAGTTGGCATTTCTGAGTTGACTAGAAGCAGCCATCTTGGTAAAGATGAGGCCAAGGTTCCTCCCATGGCAGGTTGAGTTTATTCGAAGGTGAATCCAGATCAAAAGTAGGTTTGAAGGACAAGGGACTAGCAACCAGGAAAGCGATTTCTTAAGCCATACTAAATGCTTTATGAAACTCCTGGAGCAGGTGACACCTAGGAAACACTTTTTAACCCCTCCCCCGTTTTGCGTTTTGTTTCCATGAGTTTGTTCTTCCGTTGACTAAACTTGGATAATAAAACCCGTCTGGTCAGTTTCACTTACCAATTTTTACCCATAAGTGAAAGCTGTTTTGTATCAGCGGGGTGAAGGGTTTAGACCCTTTCACCTGCCAGGCGAGTTTCCTCCAAGCCTTTCTAGGAGGGAAGGGCCTAACAGTATCTGAGCTTGAGTTTCTGATTGTTTGAGGCTGGCTCTCCACGGTAGTAATTACGGTTTTATTTTTACCTCCTGGAGTTTTGTAGGAGTCGGTGAGTGGTAATAATGGTTATACAGTTCTCTCACTTAATGGTGGCTATTTGTTTAGCATTGTGCCCTGCAGTTGCTTTGGAAAATTGGCACTTGAAGTGTGTTTCAACCCTTTAAAAAATATATACTCCCGTTTCTTGACTTGACAAATCTTCGTGTCTAATCCTATTTTGTGCCCCGAGCAGACAGTGTTTGCAAGATGCAAAGGGGAAAAGGGTGGAGGGGGCTGCGCCTGGTTTAAACAACTGCGACGAAAGGGCCTTGTCTTCTCTACAAAAATTTTTCCCAGCAATGCTAACCTGTGGCTGCCTTTCTGTCCTGCCATCCCCCCCCCTGTGAGGGTGGGGGCGGTGGGAGAGACACTGTAAGGAACTTTCTGTTTTTAGCTCCAAGCGATCCTCTGCACGAAGCAGCCAGAGAGATCCGCGCGCGCCGGCGCCGAAGGAAGGTGCCAGGCTACAGCTCGGCGGGGGTGGGAGGGTGGGGTGGACCGATGAGCCGGGCTGCCCCTCCCACGTGTCCCGGCACCTGCAAAGGCTGGCTCGGCCATGGAGTCCGCCTTTCTCCGGAAGAGGCGGCGCGGCCGTGGGCTGGGGCCTGGGACGCTGAGGCCCGGGGCGGGAGCACGTGCGCGGGAAGGCGGCGCGGACCCGAGCGTGTGAGCGTGTGTGCGTGTGTGTGCAAGCTGATCTCCGAGCGCCGGGCTGCGGGGACGTCCCCCACGGAGCGCGCCAGGCCCCGGCGCTGCAGTACTGCCCGAGTCCGGGCGGGGTCTCTGTTCCCTGGCGGAGCAGCTCGCGCGGCCGCGGGAAGCTCCCTCTCTTTCTCCGCCGCCGCCGCCGCGCGTCTGCGCCCTGCCGCCCGCGCCGCGCTCTCAGCTCCCTGCTCCCCGCCGCGCGCCCGGCCCCGCGCCCACTCGCCGCGCGCCCGGTCCTCCGTGCCCTGCTCCCCGGCTCCCTGCGCCCCCGGCTCGCCCCGCCATGGCGGACAGCGCGAGCGAGAGTGATACCGACGCGGCGGGCGGCGGCCCGGCAGCCATGCAGTCGTCCTGCTCGGCGACCTCGGGCGGCAGCGGCGGGGGCGGCGGCGGGAAGTCGGGGGGCATTGTCATCTCGCCGTTCCGCCTGGAGGAGCTCACCAACCGCCTGGCCTCGCTGCAGCAGGAGAACAAGGTGCTGAAGATCGAGCTGGAGACCTACAAACTCAAGTGCAAGGCGCTGCAGGAGGAGAACCGCGACCTGCGCAAAGCCAGCGTGACCATCGTGAGTGCACCCCGCCGACCCGGGGGGACCCCGAGGGCGCGCCCCCCGCGAGGGGCTGTGGGCCTGCGGGCACAGGGAGTCGGTCTCGGGGTCCGCGCGCGCCCTCCCTCCCTTGGGGTGTTGGAGGTGCCCGGGGAGACCCCCCACGTCTCCTCTTCGCCCGGGGTGGAGGCCGCTGCGAGGCAGAGCTGGAGGCTGGCGGCGTGGCTTGGGGGGCGGGGTGGGTCTCTCTCGGTCCTGTGGTGCCGGAACCCCCCAAATCGGGGAACACCCTCCCAGAGTCCTCTTGAGTGGATGTAGCTGGGGTCTGTTTGGGGGTGAGTGGGGAAGGCGGGGTGTGTCGCTGGGCTGGGCACCCAGTTGGCAGGAGGACGGCGCTTTGCTGGATTGCCGGCGCAGGGGGAGGGAGAGAGTGGCCCGGAATCCGGGAAGTAGAGTTTTCTGGCCAGGATGGAGAGGGAAGGGCGGGCACTGGGGCTACGCACCAGTCCCTCGTTCGGAATCCCTGTCCTTTTGGACTGGGAGGGTGGGCGGGTACAGAGTAGAGGGGAGTGTAGCGTCTGACACTGTTTGGGACAGGGTTGGAGCTGAAGCCAGGATGGAGGGTGGCCGCTGGGACTGCCTGGCTGAGCAAGGATGTACGTGCGTCTCCTTCATTGGTGGTGGAGTCCTTAGGAGTATTTACTTGCCTGTGAGTCTAGATACTTGACAGGAACACAGGCCATCTGTTCTGTTTCTACCTGGCCCCTGGAGGCTCCCTGGAAGAGGGTAGAATTAGTCTGAGATCAGCCTCCTGGTGTAGCAGAGTGGAAAGGCCCCCGTAGCGGTGATGAGGCGAAACGTAACTAGAAAAAGTACGCGTTGTGCTCTCACCTCCCATCCTTGCCAACTCCACGTCATTAACATGCAGAATCCCCCACAGACAACCCTATTCAGATCAAAACAGTTTCCCAGCCAGCAGCACGGAAGAAAATGTCAGGAAATCAAGGAGGATAAATTGCCAGAGCTGCTTGCACACAGCTGATTAGACAAAACCTTCCAATGGAGAAAAGAAATTTGGTGATGGGTCAAGGATCACATCCTGGAGACGAAAATGGGACAAATTTAAACTGCCCTTGTGCCAAGAAAAAGTAAAGTGTGTGTGTGTTCCCTGGCTTTTACACGGCCTTTCTTGGTTTGTGTGGATAGCAGGTTTCCACCAAAGAGGCAGTGTGATTTGCAACCTAAATAGCAGTTGGTTTTACAGAAAGGCATCTCCTCCAGTCCTTTTCAATGGAACTGGACCCACAAGCATACCTTTCCAGGCTGCAAGTCGTTGGATGGGCCTATTGATAGATAGGAAAGGAAAGCGATTTGTGGAGGTGGCAGCTTGCAAGCCTCCAGTCTTCCTTGCCTAAGAGAGGACTTGGCAGAATTGAATTGGAGCAGAGAGGACATCGGTGGAGGTTAAGATTTGATGTAAAAGAAAACATTAGTCTTGCAGACTGTGAGCTGTGGAAGGGAACAGAACTTACTGGAGAGGTTACCTCTGGCCTCTTCCCTGCAGATTAGACTGCTGTTTGTTTAGAGGCAGGAGACACTGTGAAAGGGCTATCTGTTTGACCTGTTGACCTATAAGTAGGTCTGTCACTTGTACACAGAAACAGTGGCCTTGCAGGGACAAACATGTTCCTTTCTGTCGTGCAAGCCCAGAAGTCTCCTGAATACTTGGGAACTGTGGGTAAGGTGGCAGCTTTGTTTCTTAGCAGTCACTCTCAATTACAGCTAACCCGCAGTCAGAGCCCCTGTGTAAGTGTTTTGTAGCCCTAGCCAGTAAGGGTCTTAAATTGCTCATGCTTACAGTTTGCAAAGGTAGGGCAGGTCTTGTGTTTTTTTTTTTTTTTTGTTTGTTTGTTTGTTTTTTATCTCTAATGTATTCAGGGAGCTAAAAGTGCACCAGGTCCACCTGGGTCGTTCTTGGCAGGTGTTAGGAGCTAATACTCTCCTGCAGCAATCTCCTTGCTGTGGCTTTTGACCTGGGATGAAGACTAGGAGTGGGGTAGGGTCGGACCTCTCCATTGGCTTATGGATGCAGAGCAGAATGTCACCTGTAGAGTTTATGCCTATATCAAGCTGTGTGTATTTCCTGACCAACCCGGACTGGGAAGGCCTCTGCTGTTTTCCATAGTTGTAGTTTTATTTGACCGGAAGATCAGTAACATCATCCCATTTCTTGCTTTCCTGGCTCTTATTAGTTCTTCTAATTGTAACATTAACTTCCGTGTTCATGAACATTAAAGGTGGTGACGGCTGTGCTTGGACACTTTCAGGAAGGCGTGTTTAACTTAACTTTTCCCTTCATAAAAAGTAGGTTTTGTTTTAAAGTAGGTTTAGGATTTCAGTAAAAATCAGCATAAAGTTGTTTGTTCCACCTGCTTGCTATACCCTCTGTAGGCACAGCCTCCTCCTCCACCAAGAGTACCAGAGTGGTGCATTTGTTATAGTTGAAGGTTCCATGTCCACTTACTTGGTTTACATCACTGGCCCACTGGGAGTTGTATATTCTATGGGCTTGGACAAATGTGCAAAGACATCATTCACTGGAAGCATAAGGAGAATACTCTCATCGTAGTAATTCTCTGTCTTTTTTTCTTCCTCTTTGGAAACTATTCAATCCCTGCTATAGTTTTACCTTCCCCAGAATGTTACATGTTGGGTGTAGAAACAGGTTGGGTTCTGTAACTTGGTGAATGAACTGGAAGATCCTCTATGCTCTTGGTGTGTGTGTGTGTGGGGGGGGCCTGACATTGTCTTTCTTGATTCATCTCTCTCCCTTACATGTTGAGGCCAGGTCTTTTTCACTTGCACCCACAGCCTGCAGCTTAGGTTAGTCTAGCTAGCTAGCTTGCTCAGGGCCCCTCTGCACCACCTCCTGAGAGGTGGTTGCAGTGCCCAGCCATCCTTCATGGCTTTTACTTGGGTTAAGAGAATCGGAACCCAGTCCTCATGACTATATAACAGGTGCCCTCTCTCCCCAGCCCCTCTACAATATTGATTTTTATGGCTTGTTTCTTCTTAGTGCTTGGATGTAGCCATTTATCTCCATCATCTGAAGGACATTTTAGTTGCTTGCAAGTTCTGGCAGTTGTGAATAAATCTGCCTTAAACATTCACATCCATTTGTCTAGACAAGATTTCAGCCCATTTGGGTAAATACCCAGGATTAGGATTGCTAGTTATGCAGTAACTGTGTTTACTTTGGTAAGAAATCTCCAAACTCTGTTCTGAAGTGCCTGGAGGTATTTTCATCCCTACCAGTGTTAAGTGACATTTGGGGTGCTCTTCCCCTCCTCACCGAAGGTCAGGATTTTGTTTTTTCTCACAGGTTCCTCAAAGTACTTCACAGCTGGGACTCTTTACACAGTCAGGTTCAAGGCCCATAGAAGCTCTAGCCATTGGGCTCCCTGGTCTCTTTTGGTGTAGGTGGCTCATTTCCACCATGATTTCCCATTTCAAGAAGGGTGGATCCTTTGGTCTGTATCCGTGTAGCAAGAGGTAGCCATTGCCTGTGGGGAGATTGACCTGTATCAGGCCTCTTCTTGAGGACTATACATCATATGGGGGCGGGGGTCAGAGCGAGGCTTCAGTGTAATTCAGCTAGGGCTGAGGGGGCGCCTGGAGTGTTTTGAGTGATTATCCAATTTTCCCCTTTAAGTCAGCAGTGGAGCCAGGCTACTGATTATAGATGTCAATTTCTTCTTTTGGAAAATAAACACACACCAAATCCTTAGTTACCCCTTTGAATGGTGTTTATTGCTAGTGCAGATCAGTCTGGCAAATCCTGGGAGAATGTGGTCTCTGGTGGTCTTGACTCAGAGACTGAGGGTGGTCCAGGGTTGTTGGTCCTGTGCAGGTGTGGAAGCACAGTAATGGGCAGTCACTGTGGGGTTGTGGAAGTCTCAGCCAGCTGCTGGTGTTCCCACACATGAGCAGTGCTCAGGTGCCTGCTTCACAGGTGTGTGTCTTTTCTAGATAGGCTTAGACACTCTGCGTGTTTAGTTTGGAAATGAAGGCCTGTAATAAATGACTAGGGTTTTAGTATCTTTTTCTGATCGTAGAACAAATCCCTTCTTTATAGATGTTTATGTCACTACAGGAAAAAAAATTTTTTTTTTGTTTTGTTTTTTGTTGCTTTTTAAAGATTTGTATGTATTTGCCTGTATGCATGTATGTCCACCACATTTGTGCAGTACTCTCAGCAGCCAGAAGAGGGAGTTGGTTCCTTTGGAACTGGAATGGAGAGGTGGGTGGGAACTGCCATGTAGGTTCTGGGAACTGAATTAAGGTCTTCTGGAAGAGCAGCCAGTGGTCTTAACTTGGGAGTCTCAAGTCCAATACGAAAATGTTTGGAAGTGGTAGCCTAAAACAATGGCCAAATGTCATGTGTAGGAACCCTGATGGTCTGTCCACTAACAATGGTGTCCTATATATAATTCATAGTGTATATTTGAGAATATTTTATTTACTGTGGTGTCTTCAGATAGCAGTTTTCTATTTTAAAGGCTTAATTTTGACAGGTTGATCAGTTTTTCTCCCTGGGAAAATGTGGAGTGTTGTTCCCCACCCCCACCTCTTTCTAGAAAAACAAAACATTTTGGTTCTGAAGGAGATACCCACCCACTTAAGACACAGTTTTGAGGGAGATGGGAGCTGAGTGTTGGGTCTGTCTGCATTCTGCTCTTAAAGAAGCTGTCCTTGCACATTCTGCATTGAAAGTTTGTATTTATTTGTTCAGTGTTTAAGACTGTGTGAGTGCCTTCTGGGTGTTTCATACAGAACACCCCCAGCCTGAAGGAGGTCACCACATTCTTTTGTAACCCTCTTGTTATCTGTTTGCTAGAAGCGGGACTAGTTAGAGAATCTACAATGTCAGGTTCATCGGGACTGCTGTGTTCAGGACTAGAGAAACCAGAAGCCAGTCTCAAGCAAGGGGCATTTGTCCTCTCTCAGTCCAGCTTGGC